GATACTATTGTGTCCTTTGGATTTAAGGAAAACATTGTTGATCAATGTATATATCTTGAGGTTAGTGAGAGTAAGTTTTGTTGGTATCGCGCAGCAGAATGTTTGCGTGTAGGACAAAAACCAAGAGAGGGGTGAATTGGTTTCTTATAAAAATTAGGATACCGGATGAATACTCAGAAAGACAAAAACAAATTCTCAAGCAAGAACTACTCCCCAAGGCAAGCACATGAGCAAGAGCAGTAAGCCGCCACCACTTTCTTTATCAAAAGGATTAGCCACCACAACAAAAGGGGCATCCAGAAGACAGAGTTCCATACATCGTCCGAAGGATCAACTCCGTTGCAAAGGAGTATCCTGAAGATAATATCTTCATATCCACCGTCAGAAGGATCAGCTCCGTAGCAAAGGAGTATCCTGAAGGCAGGATTTATATACATCGCCCGAAGGATCAACTCTGTTGCAAAGGAGTACCCTAAAGACAATACCTTCATATCCACCGTCAGAAGGATCATCTCCGTAGCAAAGAAGTATCCTGAAGGCAGGATTTGCATACATCGTTTGAAAGATCAGCTCCGTTGTAAAGGAGTATCCTGAACACAATACCTTCATATCCATCGTCCAAAGGATCAGCTCCGTTGCAAAGGAGTATCCTAAAGACAATACCTTCATATCCACCGTCAGAATGATCGGCTCCGCAACAAAGGAGTATCTTGAAGGCAGGATTTACATACATCGTCCGAAGGATCAGCTCCGTTGTAAAGGAGTATCTTGAAGACAATACCTTCACATCCACCGTCAGAAGGATCGGCTTCGCAGCAAAGGAGTATCCTGAAGGCAGGATTTACACACATCGTCTGAAAGATCAGCTCCGCATCAAAGGAGCATCCTGAGGCATCAAACCAAAACCATGGGGTCAGCTACCGCTTCAAAGGAGCTTCCCGAGACTTTCCTATTCATCAACTAAAGGGTCAACTACCGCATCGAAGGAGCACCTTGAAGCTTCGCACATACCATCCGAGGGTTCAGCTATCGCATCAAAGGAGCATCCTGAAGGAAAATCTTCATTCGCCAGCCGAAGGGTTAACTACCGCATCAAAGGAGCATCCTGAAACTTCACACATATCTTCTGAAGGGTCAGCCTCTACAGCAAGGAAGCATCCTGAAGACAGCACCAGACTACATTCATCGTCCAAAGGGTCGGCTACCATGTCAAGAGGAGCATCCGAAGGACAACGGGGCAAGAGGGTTAACTCCCGCCAATCTATTTTACGACACATTAGCCCATAGTCAATTGGGCGGGTGAAGGGGGGGGGGGCAGTTGTAGACCCTAAATCTTGCCTGGCCCTGCAAATAAGGCTAGAAATCCTCTGTTCGAAGAAGGACAAGACTTCATTGGGCCCCTAGTCATGTTCACTAGGCTCCATGTAAGGATAGGAGGGCTTTCTATACGCAAAAAATAAGAAAAAAAAGGAAAATGCTATCAGGGAGCTCGAGACGGCCGTCTCATTTAGCCAGAGGGTCGTCTCACTTTCCTTTGAGGTCGAGACGACTGTCTCGTTTGGCCAGACAGACGTCTCACTTTCTTTTAAGGTCGAGAGGACCGTCTCATTTTCTCAGACGACCGTCTCTAAATCCTAGATGACCATCCTAACTGTCAGAAGTTCAGACGGTCGTCCCAACTTATCTGGCGCAATTTCCTATAAATAGGAGTCTCCCCTCCCCTCATTTCACACACTCTCACACCCTTCTCTCATCCTAGAAGCTCTCCTAAGACTTTGGGATAAGTCTGAGCACTTTCCAGAGTTCGAGTAAGCTTTTCGATTTCCGTTTAAGGTAGAAATTGGTTAAGGAAGTCTCCTTTTGAGACATCTGGCACTCGGTAGAAGGGTATTTTCTCTTTTGCTGGTAAGGAGCGTGCTTGTAGAGTGAGGGGATCACCAAAAAGCATCCTCAAGTTCGAAGGTTATATAATATATAAAAAGCTTGCTTCGGAGGTTCCTTTCTCTATTCCCTCTCTTTTACTACTTTCTTTTACTACTTTCTTTGTATACATTATATACTAGGACCATGTAGACATTTAAATTCTGCCAGTAGATAAATAAATAGGGTAAAAACATAGTTTTTTTCGGTCTTTATTTTATAAATTAGTCCATCATAGGGAACCCGAAAGGGGCATTGTGGAGTGTCTAACACCTTCACCACACGTAACTAACTCCCTTATCTAACTCTGGTTATAATGACCAAAGTTGGTTTTTTTCTAAAACCAACACCTTTTTCCTTTTTCAGTATTTAAGGTTAAAACACTAGTGGTGACTCCATAGAACCTATTTACGAAAGCCTCGTTTTTATGTTCATCTCGATTATTGAACAACCTAAAAGTGTTAACCACATTTTACGAAAATGTGAGTCATCAAAACCATCGCGTCACTCCGATTGTCTCTTTTGACGGCGACGACACTTATTTCTCTTGATTCGCAACCTTAGACTTGATATTCCCAATTCTTTAATTCTTGAAGTTCGATTGACCATATTATACTTTCACTTGACTTGTCATTTGTTCAACCCAATATCTATTCTCGAGAATACACATTTTTAAGCATTTCCTAATCCTAAGCATTTAAAACTTATACCTTCGATTCACACATTCCATATCATTCTTTAGATTAACCTTTCTAACTTAACTAACTATTTTTGTCTCGATTATTCAACATTTAACAACCTTGATTTTCTTCTTTCATTATCATTATATCATTATCATTATCCCTTTCGATATATTTGCCAAATTGTCTGTAAAGCCTTCCTATCAAATTAATTTATAATATATATATATATATATATATATATATATATATTAGTAAAATAATATTACATTTTATTTTTATTTAAAAAATTATTATTATTCTATAAAATGAGGGCAACTATAAACCTACATGTTAGCCTGATATAAGTCTATATAAGTTATGACTTAAATAAAATAGATAAAAATCGGTCTAATTCAATTTAGACTACAAATTTTTTTTTGTCTAACATAACATATTTCTCGGATCTTCTAAACTGACGTCCGTTAAATTTATTTTGATATTTCTAAAAGTATTCATCTATCTCACACTTTAATATTTATTTTACTTTTATCAAATATGTAATTTTATTATTAACCCATCAATTAAGAGTTAAACAAAATATATAATCAGTCTAATATATATTATTACATGGTATTTCTTTTAAAACATTATAATCTTGTTTTGTATAACTTATTATTAAAAATTATAAACTTTAGTTATAATTATATAAAAAAATTATATAAAATGTTTTTAAGTTGATTGATGCTTTATAAATTAATCCATTAATTTATGCCAAAAATAGTCATTAGTGAATATTTTAAATTTTAGAGATTGAATTGTTTGGATACTCATTTTATAAGTTTCTTTGCGACAAATGAGTAACTTTTTTATCGTTAACATATAAATATATAATTTTTATTGTTTGTCTATAGTGTTGACAAACTCATAAATATAATTATTTTAAAAAAAAGTATGTATGATAATGGTTCAACGTTGATCACTTTCATCATTTTAAATGGAACAATCCAATGGTGATGAATTTTTTTGTTTTATTCATTTTACGAAATTAAAATTATACATGTAAGGAAGAAAAATGAAGTTCTCGGACCACCAGATACAGATAAACATAACAATAAATGAATTAAAACCGATTTAAAGTAAAACATTATACTAAAATTTTGAATTAGTTTATTTAATAAATAAACGGGAAAAAAATTATTAACAAATCAAAGACTCTACCCCATTTAGAAACTAACAATTCCATTCAAATATTACTAATATTTAAAAAATATCTACTCAATCACATGAGTTCCCCGAACAGAATATTTATTTACAATATTTAATATATATATATATATATATATATATATATATATAAGATATTTAAAATTAAATGGATAAAAAATATTGGGTTAAAAAGATTTTTTTAAACTGTATAATTTATTTTAAATTAAAAATTAAAAATTATAATTAAATCAAAATAATTATTTAAATATAATATTATATATATATATATATATATATATATATATATATTGTAAGTTAATTTTATAATTTAACTATATTTATTTAAAATATATAAATCAAAATATAATAATAAATTTTTATTATGGTTTTAGTATAAAATTATATAATTTATTCAAAAATAGGAGAAAAATTAAAATTATTAGTATAATAATTTACTATATTTTTTATTTACTAGTTTTTATTATAAATATTTTTTTAGAAATTAATTTTATAACTTTTTTAAATTTTTTTATTAATTTGATAATAATAAAATTTAAAAACTTAATTCAAACTGAGCCCAAAATTATCTTTTAAATTTGATATTAAATAAAAACCAATTTAATTTGAATGATTATTTACTAAAAAAAAGTTATATTCCACAACTTTTGAATAATATATAATAATAATAATAAATTATCCTTTATAATTTGTATTATTAATAAAAATATAAAATTTCAAAAATTATATATTACAATAATAAAATTCAAATACTTATATCTGTAAATAAAATATGCGATTAAAAAATTATTATAGTAAATTGAAATTTATTCGAGTATACATATATATTTTGATTATATAATAAAATATAATTACTTAAAAAATTATAAATAATATATAAGTTATGGCTATAGAAAATAATTACTGTAATGTTATTATAATTAAATAAAAATTGTGTAAAAATAAAACATAATAAAAAGTAGTATTATTTTAATGTAGATATTCACATGTCATTTTCAAGATTGAAATGTCGAAATTGCCCTGAAAGTGCGCTCCAGGTTGACTGACTAGGCATATTCTGGAGGTGTTTTTAGAGTTTCACAATAACACTGTGCTGTGCCCTCTGTGTGGTCAGTCACCTCAACAAAAACGCAAACTCCTGGAGAACAACAGCGAAAACATTGTCTTCAGCATAATCCTTCTTATTCCTCGGCGATGGTAAGCTTTTCCGTCAATTTTAACAACAGTCCTTTTCACTGATTCCTATTCCCCTCTCCTTTCCTCTTTTCAACAAATTAGGGCTATTCCTCTTCGCGCTAACTGATTATTCGATGCTCACACGGTATCTTCACTCAATTCTTCTCTCACAACTGGTTTCGCGTAATGAATTGTGCAGGCTAATCGGCACACCATTATTCTAATGCAGACCTCTCAGAACAGAGCAACCCGAACTTTCATGGATTATGAATCCATCACTCAGGCCATGGATGGTATTGGTTTAATTAATACATGCACTGTGGTTGTACACTTGTACTATTTTTTTTTTTCATGATTTTATGACTTTCTCGCTTCCTGCCATTGTATTTGCTTGACTTCACTGTAGATGGATGCATGTGGTTTACTTTGTTTATATGAATTTTGTGTGCGAGTGCAACTTTTTTCTTAATTGAAAATAAAATAGAGTGTAAGTTGATGTTGTTTTTGAGTTGTGTGGTTAAATTAAATTCAGTTTCTGTTCTTGGTGGTCAATGTTTTCTTGTATTCTGTCTGTGGTCTATATCTGATAACATTCTTACTCGCCATTACTAATGTCCTCTTTTGCATGAATAAAGAGAAGAAAATAAGAAGATAAAATGAATTGATTGTCTTCGGCTAGCTAAAATTAAATTATATACTTCTGTTTTTGGAGAAGTTAGACTATAGAGTGCTAATAAAGGTTAAGTGTATAAGATTTTAGCTCTTTGGAGAATCTCAATTCATTTTACCTTAGTTTATTTGTCCTGTAAGTACTTATGGAATAGTTCATATAGGGCCTAACATGTAAATCTGTTAGTGGACACTGTCTCCTTTGTCAGGAATATAGCAATAATCTAAATTTGATGAATTAATGTCAATGTTGAATCTCCATGCCTTTGGCCATTAGCTATAGGCTATTTGCTGTTGTATGATTTCATCTACAATAACAAATAACTTCCATGATGGAACTCCCCTTTTTTATTTTCTTTTTATTTTACGGGTAATTGGTTCATAAAATAAGTTGGACCCCATTTCACATATATTTGCTTTTTCTCCTTTGTCAGTCTCATGAGAGTGTGAAACCTAGGATTTCACTTGTCTTCTCCTGTGTGAACCTCTTAAGCTATGTCCAAGCAGTGCTGGTGAACCATCTTCTCTGATCACCACCCTTATTGGCAACCTGAGTCTGATTGTTCTTGTTCTTCATCTGCCCAACGTTTTTGTCCCCTGTTTCTTCAAAATTTCTGAATATTTTTACTTCTCTGTTGTTTAAAATTTCAGAATCAGGTTGTTCTATGTATTTTTTTTATTAAACCTACACTGTTATTCCGAATTCTTTTTCAGTTATAGGCCAATCAAGTACCCAAAATCAAATTATTTTGAGACTTCAGATCTTAGGTTTTATTGTATGATTCTGTTTTTTTTTTTTTTTTTAATTTATTTTGTTGTTTATAAAGAGAGTAGATTAGACGGAGGATAGCTGTATTCTTAGAGGGAGGAGGAGGTTCACAAAACCTATTAGAAAAACTAGAAATAAGGTTTTAGAGGTTAACAGTTTGTCTATAGCAATGATTCACTAGTAGATTATAGTGTCGTTTGGTCCATGTAACCTTTTCACCCTAGTGGTAAAATGCTTTTGTTGTTGTTGTTGTTCTTGGGTTAGTAAATTCTGGATTGAGATATGTATGTAAGACTCATTGGTGTTGTGAAAACACACTCTAAGATAAACTCAGCTCTGTATTTTTGTCTGTTTTGATTTTGATTTTACTGTAGTCTTCCACAACTTTGTTAATAGCTTTTATGATTTTCTGATGTCAGTTTAAGTGAAATTTATTAATGTTTGAAAAATATTTATTTTCTTTGGGAAGACCAGAGTCTAGATGTTGTTGGGCTTGGGTTTATTTTCTTTAGATTAGATGCTTTAGATTCTTATTTTGTTTAAGAATTATTTCTAAATTTTGGAAGACTTCCAAAATCCTATTGTAATGCTGATGATAGACAAATAACCTAAGACAACAGATTGCTATTCCCTTGATTGTGTAATGCAATAACACCTCGGGTATGATGCCTAGGTTACCCCTTTTACCCTGTCTTAGTTTTATTCTTTGACCAGTTTAGTTTACCTTTGCAAATAATAATTTGAAGTAATACCATTAAAATTCTAACTTGAGTCTGCTTTAGAACCCATCAAATGCAAGTACTGTTCATAGCACCCGGACAGGCACCAAAATTCTAACCCTTTAATCCCCTCCTATCTGCTGTTGCTTAAAAATCCTCCTTACCATCGCATACATATCAAATTGTAATCAGTCAACTGCTTTTAATTAAACCTAATGCTGACCCATTATAAAATACTAACCCATTCGTTTCCTAAATCAATGGTGTTTGTCTGATAACATGAAAACTGAATGTCATAGATTGTGTAATTAAGTCATTAACAGTATGTTTTCTTCTTTTTTCTTTTAATTGTTTCAGGAGGTGTGCTGAATTTGATATATTGGGATTAAATTTTGTCTTATTTTTTTACATTAAGTAAATTTAGATCCTTTATTTTGTCATTGTTAAAAGTATTTGATGTTTCGATGGATGAGAGGGTGAAGTCTCATCCAGTCAAAAGACCAACTTCTTGGCCATTTGGAAATCCACAATTTTTGGGTGCTTTTGTTGGGCATGGATTGTGGCCCAATCAATAACTGTTTTGCAAAGGCCATGAAATTTAATTTGTTTAGGCATCGATCCCAATTTGTTGAAAGCTAGAAACTCTATCCACCATGCTGCACCAATATCTGGATAGCTTTGATGTTTCATTCCAACTTACTGACCCTCATTTGGGCAATGCTCTCAGCTGAAGAGAGCAAATAATAACGTTTCCATGTTATTTTGTAGCTTCAACCGTTCAAGAATCAAACAAAGCCATGAACATTGACTATTTTCACTTTTTATTTTATCTGAATTCCTTTTCATAGAAAAGGTGTTACATTCTTTTTGGCTTTGTAAAGGAATGTCGATAACTTATCAAATGCAGATAAATACAAAAAAAACTGTGGCATTAATCTACAGAAATTATAAATAAAGCATGCTAGAAAGGGTTATAATGTTTTTTTTTTTTTTGGTGGTACAAGCTGGTTTTTTTACAGATTTTTTTTTTTTTTTTTAAATTTTATGCATACATTTTTAGCATTAAATACAGGTTTCAATATTGTTCTTGTACAGGCATATGTGCATTGTATGAAAGGAAACTGAAGGAGTTGAATCCGGCCATCAGAAATCTCTCATATGATATTACTGATCTCTACAACTTCATAGATGGTCTTACAGACATGAGCGCCCTAGTGTATGTCCCTTTCTCTCACTCAAAAATCATGTGCATGCATAGTTCATTAATTCAGTCAGATTTTATTTGACAGGCGGTTACCGTACCCTAGTAACAGCTTCGTTAATATTTCTGTTTCTTGGTTTCTCTGATGTAGAGAGTTTCCATTATTTTCCTCTCCTAGACAACAGAAAATTAAGATTATGGATGAAAAATTGGTAACAATTATGAGTCTTAACATAGTAGCTTGTGTATTACTCCTGTGCTCTTATTGATGAAATAAGCGACCATAAATAAATTTTGAATATTTTTAGGGGTCTTAAAATCCTTCATAAATTGGTGGAGAAAAAAAAAAAAGAAAAAAGATTTGTAACCCTCCGTCTTTCCATTCCATCCCTCAGTAGCCCTTTTTTGGCCTTGAGGCTTTAGAACTCAATGAATCATGGCAATTGTTGTATCATATGTTTTCTCTACCTGTTCTAGGAAAAAGTTAGTTAAGTTCAGTGGACTTGTGTGACAGATATTTCAATTGTCTATGCATATAATTTGATTATTTTACATATTGGGTTTTCTCTGCATGTGGCTTGCCTTGGCATTGATTAATATGACTAGTTATTTGGATTCTACCTGCACAGGTATGATAGTTCAATTCATGCTTACTTGCCGCATGATCGACAGTGGATTAAGCAAAAAACCTTCCAACATTTGAAGAAATTGGCACATTGATTAATCCCTCAACTTTTGGCAATTTAATGTAAAGAAAATCGCAAAGGGCTGAACCTGTCTGTTATGTGGCTATACCCCGCTGGCTATGTAATATGAATACTGAATACTGCAAATGCTGTTACAGAATTATAATATCAACGGCTGGGACTGCTGTAGTTTCATAAACAAACTAAAATGATTGTCGTGGGCATGGTTGTTCTACCTTATGTCTGGTGGATTTGTTTTTTATAAAAATCTTGTAGTTGTAAAATTAATTAGTAAATTGCACTGTTGAGTTACATATCCACACATTATGATTCACGATATCGTATGAATGCTAGTTTTGAGAGTCCTGTTGTGGGGATGAGATACTTACAAATGTGAGGTACCAACGGCACGTAGAAACATTTTATTCAGTTATTTTAGTAGACGCCACAAATCTTCTCTGTCCAGGGAATTCAACTTGAATAAGAGATGATAATTTTGTATTTCTGAATATTTACCACTGATATTTTTTTTTAAATGATTTAGTCTTATTTTTTAGAACATTAGTTTTAGTGTTTATATATTGTTTGAAATATATGGACAAGATTATTGTTTGGAAAAGGAGAGAGAAATAAATAAATAAAGTAGAAGCAGATGTAAAATAAAATGAGAATAAAAAGTGTTTAATTGAAGAAAAATAAAGAAGGAAAAAGATAGAAAGATGAGTAGAAATAACAAAGTAGATCTCAGTTTTTTAATTAATTTTTTTATCTTTTATTTTTATTTATTTCTATTTTTCATTTCCATTGAAGTCCCAATCTTAATTTGATTTTATCCTCTAAACGGAAAGGTAGAAGACTATGTTTTATTTTCCTTCTTAAAGGAATGGTTATGCAAATGCGAGTAGCCTTTTTAGACTTGGTCCTTAGACTGTTTTGTTGCTTAGTCATTTATAGTTCTTTGTCCATTTTTCCTCTATTGGACAATGGCATATTGTTTTCAACCTTGTTTTTGAATGATATTCTTTTTGTTTATTAAAAATATAAATTTTAAACTAAAAACTAATTATTTAAAGTTTTAATCCAATAACTTATCAGTTCCTTTAGTAGATGTACGTAACAGTAACTAAAAGAAGTTCATGCATGTATTAGTGTCTGTGTTCTTTCTGGAAGTATCTTGCTTACACAGCAGCTTTATACAAATGACTTGTCAAACAAACTAATCTTGCCGTGGGGGACCAATGACGTGCAGCTTTTGCCAAGGAGCTTGTTTTGTACGGTTGAATTGTATTACTGGGCGGAGTAACTGCAACCATTATAATGGTTCAGTCTATGATGTGAATGAAGACTTCGCTCAATTATAATAAATAAATAACATGTGAAGGACAATTCTTGGCGTTTTTCTTAAGTTTATTCTCGTGAACTTTATTGTAAGTTGTTTTCATAGCTTAATATTTATTCCAAAGTCCTTATTATGTGTTTTTACTTTGAGTTCTTAATGTTTATTTATTTATATTCCGTCTCTATTATTAATATTAATCATTTTAATTAATTTTATAAATATTTTTATTCTTTTTAATTCTTCAACTTTTTTTTAAATAACATCTAAACTTTTATCATGTATCTTGATAATAAATATAATCAGATAAATTTAATATATATATATATATATATATATATATATATTATTCTTTAACATTTTATATTATATTTTTTTCGTTTTCTTTTTCTTAATCAATCAGAATATTATTATTTTAAGATTTTCATATGAATGTTTTCTATAACAGATGTCAAAATATATTTTTCCATGGGTAAAATATTTTTCTTATACAACTATTATTAGAAAATATTGTGTTTTAAATTTTTTTCTTCCGATTTCCATGCATTCTTAAAATTTTAATTATTTATTAATAAAAGTATTGTTAATTTAAAACACATGTAAATTATAAATGATTAAATGGATATTTTAAGAGTCTTCTAAATATATATCTTTAAGGACTTAATGCTCTAAACATGAGACCATGGGTCCCTGGAATAAATGAAGAGTCATCTGTCCCCAGTCCAACATCCCTCGAAGACACACTCTGGAAAAAGAGGTCCATCGGGAAAAAGAAGAATGTGCTTAAAGCGCAAGAAGCTGAATTAGAACTAGAATCAGAACAAAGGAGTCCTATAATTCAGAAGAACCATCAACAATGCTCCCTCTATTCAGATATGCAAAATAAGGTGAAAATAGGCGCAGAAACAGACTACTCACGAGTATGCCTTCAACATGAATTGGCTATCCCATTAGACATAACAACCCTCAACCTAGCCCAAGACCAGGTCAAAGAAGACCCAGCAACCCCATTAAGCCTACAACTAGCATCCCAGACAGACCAAACAATCCCAATAGACACACAGGAGATCTCAAAAAAAAAAAAAAAAAAAAACATAGAAGAAGAATAGGAAAAGAGGAAGGAGGGCAGAAAAGAAAAAAGAGACGGAACTGGGTGAAGCACGTCCTCAACATCCTCAACCTCAACCTTAACCTTCTTCAAACCATGGACCTTCAGTCCGACGAATAAATGAAGAATGTCCTGCCCCTGATACAGCACCCTTGGAGCATGGTCATCAAAAAGAGAGGACTAGCAAAAAGAAGAGTGTGTATAGTCTCCCATGGGTTGAACAGTAAACACACGTAAAAAGCTACATTTCCTTTTATTATTCAAGAATGAAAAGAACATGATTTATATGCAATAAATAATAGACGTAACCAACTAAATAAATTTAACAAAAATATATAACGTAAATATCCATGCATTTTGACTTAACTAATAATATGCCTCCTTAAGTCAAAAGCCAACAATACCCATACTTTCTGAGTTTAACCTAGCAACCTTTAAAAATTTCATGAAAATGTCTGCATTTTGGCATTCCTCACTGCAATATTCCATCTCTAGTTTATTGTCATTGACTTGTTCCCACAAGAAGTGGAACCTAGTATCTATATGCTTGTTTTTCCCATGAGTTGATGGGTGTTTGGCCAAGTCTATTTTAGACTTGTTATCAACAAATAGTTTTGGTGGCTGAACCAATTTTGCACGTAACTCTTTCAACAACATTCTGAGCCATGTAGCTTGAGAAACAGCTATGTACTCTGCTTCACATGAGGACAAAACTACAATCGATTCTTTGATTGAATTCAATGAAATTGGTCCTTCCCCATAGTAAAACACGTATCCTGCTATGCTTTTTCTATCTTCCTTATCACCACACCAGTCCGCATTTGCATATCCCACTAACTCCATCACACTTTCTGACTTCTTGCACGAAAAGAATATCCCAAGATTGCACATCCCTCGCAGATATCATAGGATATGCTTCACGACATTCATATGATTGTGCTTGGGATTCTCCATGTATCTACTGACTATGCCAACTCCACAATTCAAATCTGGTTTGGAGTTGCATAGATACCTCAGACTTCCTATAATTCTGCAAAATTCCGTTTGGTCAACATCCTCTTCTTCGATGCTTCTTTCCAACTTCAGTCCCACTTCTGTTGGCGTGATCACAGTATTACAGTCTTTCATTCCAAACTTGCCCAGAAGATCTCGTGCATATTTCATTTGATGCATGATGGTTCTAGATTCTATGAATTGAAACTCAATTCCTAGAAAGTAGTTGAGTTTCCCAAGATCGCTCATCTCAAAATCACTAAACATCTTGGTTTGCTTCCAGTTACCAGCATATCATCAACGTAAAGGCATATTATCATCATTTCTTCTCTATCTTGGTTCTTCTAGCCTTTGGTATAGACTCCCTGTTCTGATACACACCTCACAAAGCCAATTTTCTATAGAAACTTGTCAATCCTGTGGTTCCAAGCTCTCGGTACTAGTGGAAAAATATGATTCTATGACGACTTTTTATGACGGTTGTAATCAACCCCGTCATAGTATGTAGGGCGGTGACATTCACTACAAAAAAAAAACCTTATTATCTACGGGTAAAATCTGTAGGTAATGACAAAAATCCGTAGGTAATGTCACATTACCTACGGATTTCTTTCCGTAGAAAATCTGTATGTAATTTGGTCGTAGGTAATTACCTACGGAATATAATCCGTAGGTAATGCTCTCGCTGGAATTACCTACGGATTATAATCCGTAGGTAATGCACTCGCTGAAATTACCTACGGATTATAATCCGTAGGTAATGCACTCACCTAAACAAAATATTTTTATTTATTACAACCCCCTCCCTTTGAATTATTATTAGATTAAGGGAATTGTCATTGGCAGGATTCGAACCCAATACCTCAGAGTTGGAGGCTGATACTCCAACCACTAAGCTATTAGGATATTTTGATAATAATTTACAAATAAATTATATTTATATTTATCCAGTGTAAAGATATAAATATAAAATATATAAATATAAAATATATATATATAATATAAATATAAAATATATAAATATAAAATATATTTAAATATAAAATATATTTAAATATAAAATATATTTAAATATAAAATATATTTATATTTTGATATATTTATATATTTATATTTTGTATTTATATATTTATATTTATATATTTATATATTTATATATTTATATATTTATATATTTATATATTTATATATTTATATATTTATATATTTATATATTTATATATTTATATATTTATATATTTATATATTTATATATTTATATATTTATATATTTATATATTTATATATTTATATATTTATATATTTATATATTTATATATTTATATATTTATATATTTATATATTTATATATTTATATTTATATATTTATGTATTTATGTATTTATATATTTTTGTATTTATATATTTATATATTTATGTATTTATATATTTATGTATTTATGTATTTATATATTTATGCATTTATGTATTTATGTATTTATGTATTTATGTATTTATGTATTTATGTATTTATGTATTTATATATTTACATATTTACATATTATCATATTATCATATTTATATATTTATATATTTTATATTTTATATTTATATATTTATATATTTTATATTTATATATTTATATATTTTATATTTTTATATTTATATATTTATATATTTATATATTTTATATTTATATATTTATAGATTTATATATTTATAGATTTATATATTTATATATTTATATATTTATATATTTATATATTTATATATTTATATATTTATATATTTATATATTTATATATTTATATATTTATATATTTATATTTTTATATATTTATATATTTATATATTTATATTTTTATATATTTATATTTTTATATATTTATATTTTTATATATTTATATATTTATATATTTTATATTTATATATTTATATATTTATATATTTATACATTTATATATTTATACATTTATATATTTATACATTTATATATTTATACATTTATATATTTATATATTTACACGAATAAATATAAGTATAATTTAGTTGTAAATTATTATTAGAATATCCTAATAGTTTAGTGGTTAGATTATGAGTTTTCAACTTTAAGGCACTGGGTTCGATTCTTGCTAATAACAATTCTTTTAGTTTAATATAATTTACCTACGGATAGTAATTCCGTAGGTAATTATCTACGGAATTACCCACGGATGACATTACCTACGGATAATATCCGTAGGTAATGAATAATTACTCACGAATAGAATTCCGTAGGTAATATCCGTAGGTAATGTACACTTTACCTACGGATAGTAATTACGTAGGTAATTACCTACGGAATTATCCACGGATTACATTACCTACGGATTATTTCCGTAGGTAATGTAAAATTTACCTACGGATTTTTATCCGTAGGTAATGTACACTTTACCTACGGATAGTAATTACGTAGGTAAATTACCTACGGAATTATCCACGGATTACATTACCTATGAATTATTTCCGTAGGTAATGTAAAATTTACCTACGGATTTTTATCCGTAGGTAATGTACACTTTACCTATGGATAGTAATTACGTAGGTAATTACCTACGGAATTATCCACGGATTACATTACCTACGGATTATTTCCGTAGATAATGTAAAATTTACCTACGGATTTTTATCCGTAGGTAATATTCCGTAGGTAATAGGCTTTTTTTTTGTAGTGATTTTTGTAATGATTTTATGAACTTTTTATCTCGGTTATTATGTATCTAACATGGTATGTGGGCAAATTCACTTTCCATGTCAGTTGAAATTTAATCGACATAGAAAGTGAACTTTCTATGATGGTTGAAATTTAACTGACATAAAAAGTGAACTTTCTATGTCGGTTTTAGTTTAACCGACATAGAAAGTATATTTTATGACGGATATTTGGGCAACCGATATTTGGTTGACTTCCTGGAGATCTGATTTTTTTATTGCTCTCTGGGAGATGGAGTCTTGGCTCCTTGATTGATGTTAGTGGGAAATGACTTTGTGAAACTCTTATTCTACTGGGGGAATGGAATTTCCAATTCCTTGCTTTGGTTGCTTTATTTTTTTTTGTATGACCCGCTTGGGGATTTATTGGCCTTCCATTGTCATGACCTTTTTTATTTTTGTAGGGATGAAGGGTTTTTCTTTTTTTTTTCTTCCTTTTGTTGAGCACTTTATTCTCTGTTGGGAAATGTGGCGGAGACTTTGTTGAGTGTGCTTGCTGACTCATGTGGTGGCGATGTTGAGCCTTAGGGTAGTATTTTTTGGTTTTGCCTCTAGAGTAGGCAAATATCCTTTTGGTGATGATTGAGCCTTTCCATCGACTTTTCTGTTGATGTTGATGCCCTCTTTTTATTGGGTGGAAGGATGGAGTTGGAGCTTTGGGCTCTGGAAGCTCTTATTTTGTTTTGAGTCGCTTGGTAAATTATGACGACTTGCTCCGTTTTCTTTGAGGGGAGCGCTAGTTGGAGACTTGGTCTCGACGATCCTGTTTTCCAATCACAAACATGGAGCCTAGTCTCCTTATATGCATGGTTCTTATTTTTTTTCTTATTTTCTTAAAGAGATTTTTATTCTTTGTTTTTTACAGAGTTGTTTTGTGCGACTAGTGTGTGGATGCCCTAAATGCAATCTATTTTTTTTTATTTGATACATCTAGAAAAGTGACTGACATTCTCCTGCTGGACTTTCATGATAATGCTAATGGACTCCTCTTTTTATTCATATTTTTGTTTTAGTCATAACTTTTTCCTAGACCGCCCTTTTGGGGTTTTCGATCTAGCCTTAACTTTTGCTTAGGATATCCTAGCGGACTTTTTCCTTTTTTGTGAGTGTCTTAACTTTTTCCTAGACCTCCCTTTTGGGGTTTTCGATTTAGCAGGCTACCCTAATTTTTGCCTAAGAATCTCTTAGCAGACATTATTCTTTTTTATTTTCATTTTTTCTTTATCAATGTTTCCTTATTCTAGATGCATGATTTGGTCTTGACAAAAGGACTTTGCACATATTTATGATTTATCAATAAAGAGGCATTTCCATAAAATGGTCAAGAGAATAGAAATGAAAGGGAATTTTATTGATATGCATGAGCAAAAAGGTTTATTTCTTCTTCTTTATATTTAGAAGGATTACAAAGGAATTTTAGAAGAATGGCTGGCCAAGGTTGGCTACACTATGTGGGCTACAACAATCATGTTTATGATATCTGCCCCCTGGTTCTCCTAGTTGCTTCAGTCAAGATGCTCGAGCCTGGAGTGAAGATTATGCAAAGCTGTCTGCTTCTGGAAGGATGCTACCTTAGCCACCTTTCGATTTTCGACTAAGATAATCATTGCTCTTAGGGGATTTTTTTTTAAACCTCTAATTTTTGTTTAGGACGTATCCTAGCGAAGAATATGGATCCTATCTTTTGCCCAGGATGTCCTTTGCAAGTTTTCATTCTGACAGGTCTTGAGCAATGCCTTCAAGCATAATACTTCTTCACCGCATCAGAATTGCCCGAGTGTTGAAGCTCCTCTTCATTCATGTCGGCGAGGATAAGAGCTCCTCCCGATAAAGCTCACTTAGCCACAAAGGGCCTTTCATGATTTGCCGCCCATTTTCCTATTTTGTCTTTTTGGGCCGCAAGCAATTTCTTTACCATGAAATCCCCCTCATGGTAAATATGGGGGTTGACCTTTTTGTCGTGAGCCCTTATGATCTTCTTTTGATAGGCTTGTCCACGACATATGGTGTCCAACCATTTTTCTTTGATTAGGTTCAACTGATCATATTGACTTTGCACCCATTCAACTTCTGTCCATTTTGCTTCCATGATAACTTATAAGGA